CAGCAACCGTTGAGTCATATCGAGCTGGTCAAAAGCGAACTCAGGAAGAACATCCAATCGCACTACAAGATCCGGTCTGGTGAAAGCGGCAAAGTATGTTCTTCCTCCAGTCTTCCATCTGTTTCTTCGCCCTGATGCCATCTCGTTAGGTAATTACCGAATTGCGAGTAATTGTATGTGCCCCCAAAACGGGCCACTTGGTAAATAAGCTGGACCAACGCAGGGGCCCTATGGGGTTCTGGTAGATGTTATTGGGTAAGCATACCTATAACAAATATCAATGGCAGGCCCATTTGCCGGCTCACATCGCGTCAAATGCAATCCCTGCCGTCCCGATTGTTGTTGTCCGTTAAAATCCTGGTCAAGCGCTTGTTGCTGACCAGGAAGTGTGTTGGTACGCCAAGGTGCGGGTCCGACCGCGCCAGTCTCCTGCCTCCAGTCTTCTTTATGATAGCCCAGCACAGCCGGGGGTGGGGATACTGTCCCCACTACGTCCATCCGATACTAGCCTACCCCCCGCTGTATTTGAAATGACAAACCTCTGCTAGCTGGCGGAATTTCACGGAAAGCGGCATCGACTTACTGTCCCGGATGCAGCGAAACCACTCACTAGGCTTTCGCCTCGGTCGTTAACATGCCAGCACCGTGGATGCCATCGTTTCCGATAATGCCCACTGTTTACTCCACAGCACGAACGAAGACGAAATTTCGAGCTCCTGGTGTACGCACCCAATTTGTCCAATCTGGCAAGTGGATATCTTCGACCCTTCCCAATGACTGCGGTGTTCTTCAAGGTTCCATTCTATCCCCTCACCTTTTCTCCCTCCACACTGATGATCTCAGGTCCCCTAATGACTGTCTTCTGGTCAAGTATGCTGACGATGTGGTTGTTGGACACCCTCTCAAAAGTCAGACACACCTCCAGTCTCTAAAAGATGGCCTAAACCATGTCCTAGCGTGGTCGGAGGAAAATGGTCTCCTAATTAACAACCAAAAATCCGTTCCGTGTATTTTTCGACTGCGGCCCTCTCCTAATCCTGATTCCTCTGACATTCTTCCTAATGAAGTATCCTCTTTCAGGTATCTCGGCGTTACTTTGTCCTCAATTCTTTCATTTTCCCTCCATATTGAGTCCCTATTTATGAAAGTTCGTAAACTTCTTTACTACATAAGTCGTTTACGTTCCTACCACACACCTCAACCCTTAGTCTGGCGATTCATTGATGCCTGCATTCTTCCTCTTATCCTATACTGTTCTCCTGCCATTTTTCCTGCTTTGTTAAAAAGTATCTTTTAATTTTGAAACGAGTCCTCCGCACGTTCTGTTCTGCTGCTGGTGTTTCTTATATTTTTTTAGCTGACACTATCTTACAACGACACTTCAATGCGGTCAAGCAATTTGCTGGTCGAATTTAAGATGACGTTGCCCATCCCTTACATTCTGATCTTATGTCTGCGAAATCTTCCCGCCCGATGCGCCGCAGCTTCCAACTTATATCCTGTCGCACATTGGCTTATCGAGCTTCTGCATTGCCATTCCTAGCGCGCTATCTTACGTGCGAAGAGACAGAAATACAGAAGCTAAGACTTGAACTATCCCCATAATAATCGTTTATTTGTGTTAAACTTTGACTCTTGAATAATCTATTAACTTATTTACTGCCCATAGAGAATGGAGCCAATTTTTTGCTGAAAATTTTGAACATACGATTTCAAAATAAAGCGCATTCCTCCTCTCTCTCTCAAAAGAAGAAGATTCGAGCACCCTACCATTGTCGGTAAGGCCCCCTCTGCCTATATCATGCGCGACTGTGCGGCTGCTGGTTGGGCTCGAGAGAGAGAGAGAGAGAGAGAGAGAGAGAGACAGAGCCCATAACGCACAACAGAACGAGTGTGCTCCGTAAGAACGATCGGTGAACGCCCCCTACCATTGTACAAGTCTGCCTTGTCTTTGACGGTAGTGCCCCCTCTGCCAATATAGGGGTAGGCGACTCGGATCCCAGATGAGATCACATATTAAGAAGGAACCATCACAGTCTGACTTGGTGGAACGCCAAGGTGAGGATCCGTCCGAGCCATCCACCTGCGGCCTCTCGCGTCTCCGGTCTTCTTGACTCTGTCTTGACACCGGGCTCGGGCGAGGGAGGGGGAGAGAGTGTAGGTAGATGCTACGGAAGTCTACCGACACTATAAACCCCTGCGTAAGTCACCGTCCCTGCTCCCATTGCTGCTGCAACGTGGGCACACGGTGGACATCATCGAAACCGATGGTCGAACTGTCACAGTCTGGCTCTCTGTCCTGAGCGGAGGAGGAGCGAGTTATCCCATCTGTTGGCAGCCTAATAAAGCACGGTCGTCAGCGCAACGTGATGCATCCAAACGCGCCAAAATTTTTATATCGAAAAATCAGCGCTGAGGTAGTCGACTTCACTCTCTCTCTCCTCCCTATTCTGGACACCAGTCCACTGTCCAAGTCGGCCAGCCAACTGATGCATGAAAACTGGGTGCGTAAAACACAGACACACGACCTTGACTCTCACATACAACACACCAGAAATTCACACAAAGTGAAGGACGCCTCGGATTTCACATGCGCGAGAGTGCCAATGCAGCCTCACTCTCAGTTCAACACTTCGTCACTGCACTCAAAAACCCACTGGACTGACTGCGAGGTCTGACTTGCATCGTTAGCTGGCTACCTTCCAGGCCACGGATTCCAGCATTCTATGATAGATTCAGAAGCATCAGATTGTTTATAGGAAGGAATACACGCACCAGCCTATTGTCCGAGCCAGGTCAACTAACTGATGTTGTGACCGGGAGAGGTGGTTGACAGAGATGAAAACAGCCCATCTAAGGGTGCCGTCCGCTTAACCTGTTTCCAGAAACGGAACACCAGGATTTCACACAAGTGGCATGGATTGTGCACTTCTCACACTCTGCAGATGGGCAACATTAAAGAACCGGGGAACGAAATTGGGACTTACGTGAGAGGTGCCTAGTCCAGGCCTGCGAGATCGGACGTGTTTACGTGTGGTTCATGTGCTGATGGAGAAATGTGTGCTGAAGTGTTTTAGTCCACGCTAGGTTACTGCAGGTTTTTGTGGGTGCGCACATTAGTACTAATCACTCTGCCACAACCCGACTTGGAATCTGGAAACCGTGAAGGTTCGACGCAGTTCCGGCTGGGCATTCGTGTGGTGAGCCACTGATCTGCGTTGTCCCCTCCTCCCGGGGGGATAGTCCACGTCACATGGCCAGTTGTCACGATGTATGTGCGTGTAGCCACACGGAAAACGCAACGTTCGCTGCATTATGCACGGACATGTCAAGTAGACATGTTCGGCAAGGTTGCACGCTGAACACACTGCCATCCCAAAATGCAGTGCTCAGAGCGACGACCCTAGCCAGATCGATGGAGTGTAACAGAACTAACTGAATCCAGATTCACGCCCGTTATCGATTAGCTTACCTGGAATAAAAGGACTCCCTTTGTTCCTCCGCTGTGGCCGTGACTAATACCTCAAGGCGGGCAAACCGCCCTCCACATATACTGATATATCTAGTTTAATCCAACCGATATGGTATGCTCTACACACCAACGTCGAAGACGGAGGGTCGAGGATGGAAATAGCGTCTCCAGACGTTTCGAATGGATCACTTACGAGCCTACAATGTGAACGTGAAACCCTTTAAATTTAAGGCACTGACCGAAGGCGCCAATATCATCCGTCTCGGATGATCAGCATGCAGTGGACATTTTCACGTGAGCGGACACATGATATGTATCTCAAAGAATTCCTCCAGAGCAGAGGTTGTCGATCGTGGCCAGTCCTCCCTCATATTCCCCCCAGACAGTCCCCACGTTACCCCGTCCTCCAGCTCAAAAGCATTTACAAACACACCGAAAGACCACTCAAACAGACCGGCAGTGCGCTGTGGACATCATGCCGTGTGAAAACACATAGCCACTACGTCTGTCCGATTTCAGCTTCCGTCCTCTGCATTTGAAGTGGCTCACACCTCCCAGCTCTGGCAGACATCCACAGAGAGGCAGCGTCGCCCTCCTGCCCGGAATTCAGACCAACCGCCTTCACCTCGGTCGTGAACATCCAACACAAATGGGCGTTTTGGTTCACAACTAGGAGACACTGCGTGGACCGCAGCACTGAACACTACTGATGGTCTACCACCAGCCCAGTCGACATCGAGTCGTCAGCATACGGGAGCCGGGTCGACCCTAACGGAATCATCTCTTTAACTTACCAAACAACTACTCCGTGCTGGCAAATAGGACTGAACGCTGCACACCGCCTGGCTGACTCTCGAAAGATTCAACTGTACGTCTGATACGCTGTGCGCACCAATCCTAATATGAACATTCCTCGAAACCCGTCTAGCGGGCATATCAAACCCACACCCAGCCAAAAGAACCACCGATCCCACATATCCAGACGTTTGTTGCCCACCCTAGCCAGCCACATCAACTACGCATACACTGGTTAACCATACCACTGAAGACACACCCCAGATGTGGAAAACCCAATAAAGACAACCACCTTTTCTTTCACATTATATCTCTTCTTCGTGTTTATAACTGTGTACACATATAACAGTACAGATAGGGCGGCATATGCACAACCCGGGGAAGGCTCGGATGCGAAAGACACACAGACACTGCATGACAGTGGATGCAGTGCGTGCTGTATATCATAAAGTGCCAAAACGAACGGACGAGAAATAGAACGGTATGAAAGTCGGAAAGGCAACACAAATTTCGTCACGATAACAGTTTCACCTTAGTAACATACACACAACTTCTCGTCCGGCGTCGTCCCTTCCCACTGCTTCACCATTCCACTTGTGGGCCACCCTGACGAAAGGCCGACGTCGCTGTGCCGTCTCTTGGCCATTCCAAGGGAAAAAAGTGTTTCCGGAGGATAAATTCGGGTTCTCCAACACCACGGAGGCGCAAGAGCATCCCGTCCAGCAGAACCGCATTAAGGAACGTAGTTGTAGAGACACATATTGAAGGGCCGAACACACCGACAGGCCTGCCGATGACGTACCTTCGTGTCCTTGCTGTACATGAAGTTGAAGGCTGACCACTCATTGCAATGATGTTGTTGGCACAACTCGAAGCACTCCTTGCCAGTGGGTACGAGACAGAGGAAGTTTCCAGTTTCTGTCGAAAGTCAAAGGGGATGGACAATTAAGGACACATTTGGGCTAGAACGTAATAACCACTCTTCCCTTTCCCACCTAAGAATCAAACTGCCCTAATGTCCTTCCCTACAAACACACAGGCCCTACGCATACTCGGCTTCTATCTGCAGAAGACGACTACATCAATGTCTGGATGTCTACACTTCAAGTATGCATAAGAGCTCACCTTTGTCGAAGCGGTAGCCCTCCTCAGGGCATGGAGGCGAGAACTGTAGCTTCCGTTTATAACGACCTGCGTGAGGAAGAAAATGACCAAGGTGAGAATGACTGGAGAGGAAAGAAAGGCAAGGATTGCAAGTTTAGGAATGGACGGGGCAAGAACTCACTTCGAGAAACCGATCCATGACTAACCGAAGGGAGCGAGAGAAGGAGGACTGTAATGGACAGAACATAGCCGAAGTACATTGCAAGATAACGAGAAGGATTGAGAACGCGGTCAGGAGAGTTAAGGGAAATTGCTGCAGCGTCGAGGATGTTGAGGCAGTGCACTCTTTCACTTTTATATAAAATTGTGATTGCATCTGATTTCCATTGGTCCGGCCGGTGATTCAGCTGATTGGCTCACCCTTCTGGTGTGCGCGCGCGCCTATTGGCCGGCATTTCAGCCAAGATCGCACGTTCGGTGTGCTAGCAGGTGTGGATGACCTCAAACCACACTTGGGTGGCGCCATCGTTACCGACACACGGGCCACCTGACCGAGCGCCTCCACCCGCGGCTTGACGAAAACTTTCGGTACAAAGAACGGGTGGATGACGAAATCGTTTCAGCATGCGTGTCGTGTTACTGCGCGCAAACCATGCCAGAAGGAACTGTTGTGTCGCCAGCGCTTCGATGCCACTGACCTTTTCACGCCCATAAAATGGGCTCAAGGCCGCCTTCTGATTGGTTCCCCTCTTTAACTTAGAATGGCATGCACTCATCCCACATTTTTTAGCAAAAACTTTTCCCGTCTCCGTTTTGTAGATACGTAGGACTAAATTATAAGACAATGATAGTAAATCGAAACTGTTTGACTGTGTTGTGTGTGTTTGTGTTAAATCTAACCTTAGCTTCTGTACTTCGGTCCACTTTAACGTCAGAAATCGTGCAATTAACAGTAAAACTGGACGCCGACATGCCGACTTACGACAAATAATTTTACGGTGGCCACGTCCGAATGGGCAGAACGACTTCACTGAAATTATGTCAGATTTGAAAAGGTGGGTATCAGCGCTGTAAATCTGAATAGCAAAATGACTGGCAGTAGGTGGGGCAATTCAGTCTAACATTGCACGTTTAAACTGGATCTTTACCTTACTTTAGACTCCCACACATGCCCAGTTCATGAATGAGTCCCCTTCAATTACTTGGGGTATTAAGGATAGGGTTGCCATTACTAAACCCCTCTCAATAATTATAAAAAGGCCCAGTGTATCCAGTGAAATTACGATGATGAAATAATCCCTTTAACCGACAGTGCAAGGAGCTCGTGGCTAAGTATTCAGGACGTTAGACTTTTAGCCAACAAGCCGTGGGATTTAGATCCAGGGGTTGCTCACCTTGGGGTTAGGTATGGCTGGCTGACGATGACGAATAAGCCAGAAACGGCCCTTCCGGTCCCATTGTCTCTAATGGTAATGCTATTATTCCAGCAGTTTCCAGTCAATCAGGTCAATTGCATGCAGTCATTGTATACTACTGACTGCTTGTTGGCTGCTTGTTATTATTATTTCCCGGTATTCCGCACTAACTAATAGAGCGGGCCCAAAAAGCTTTATTCCGAAGGATGTTCCCTAAGTTCACGCATTAGCTTCCTTGAACTCCACGTTTCTGTGATGTTCTGTTGTACAAACGGCCCTCCCCCATCGGGAGGTTGCGTAGGGTTTCTGTTGTAGACGCAGTTGCCAGTAAGATCCTTGGAGTCGAAATTGTCAAATCGGCCTTCAAAAGTGATTTAATGAGCTCACAAAAGCATTGTCGTTATCATTGAAAGCGTGAAGTCGGTAGTACACAACATGACTGTTCACAATAAAAGAATTGGGGCTAGAATCTGACATCGGGCTGACGGAAGCCTCAAGGCTGTTGTTCTACACAAGAAACCATTTGAATGGGGTTACAAAGCCGCCCAACGTGCAATGTACCTTCAACTTACTTCATACTGACTAGTTATGGGAGACCAATTACGTTTGACAAATATCACTTAACTTACGCATAGCGTTTCTTCACTTTTCCTTTCTACGTCAATGAGGTTGTTTTTCTGTTGCTATTTCGTGAAGTCATTTTATGGGAAATTAAGACAGGTGACGGGGTTTGTAAAAGAAAATGCGGACTGAGGAGGATCTGAAAGTGTTTAGCGGTTTTCCATGTTCCGCATTGACGTGGTGTACTTACTGAAAACAGACATTACCATAGTTCCTTTGATGTTTCTTTAGAGAACAAATCGTGCATATGTATATACACATGAAAGATACGCTATCTCATTAAATATTAGTTTAAATTCTAAAATGTGTTTCGATTGGAAAAGCTTTATCAAGTAGAGCTGCAATACTAATCATCGTGAGACATAATCCTAAAATACATCAGTCACGCCGGGATGGCGGCTTTTAAGTGAGCATATTTCCAGCCGCCTGCAAAAACCGTGCTCTGTAAAAAATGACTACATATATAGTACGAATTTTTTTCATTTATTTTAGATGTCCTAATAAACCCATATATATTCTACAAAAACGCACAAAATATTCCTTATTGCACCCTTCTGATAGCAAAGTGCGTCCTCTCCTAATTTTACAATAGAACAGGTAGTATTTTTCGGTTTTGAAAAAAATCTAACTACGAGGGTTTTAGTGACCTTGAAATATACAGCCTCGCACTAGCACGCCCATTTGCGATACTTATAGAGTGCACAACCTGGTTCGCATCCATTACACAATTTTCTGAGTCCTATATGAGATGTTCCTAACAGCGTGGAGAAAAGTGTGATAGGCCTCTGACTTAGTGCATGCAGCATGTGCTTTCAAAACTCCAAATACAAATGTAACGGCAGGTGTGACAGAAAAAGCATTCGGGAAATTAAGAGTTTTAAAAAACCGATAAATGTCCTCTCTTCCGGTGGAACATTTGAAGAAGACGTATTTAACTACCAAATGAGTGCAAGAGAGAATATTTCCGTGCATTTTGATTTATCATAGCATCCCAAATAAATGAGGAAAATTAATACAACTTAGGTGGCTATTTTTTGCAGACGGCCGTAAAGAAGCTTATTCAAAAGTCGGAATCCTGGCGGCACTGAAACATCATAGGATTATGCCCCACGATAATTAGTACTATGTCCCTATCAAATTAATCTTTTGGAGTCGATGACATTTCGGTTAACATTTCTTGCCATGGCACACCTTCTGTACGTCTGTATTTGCAGAATGTGATGGCCGACGAGGAAAGGGGGGTCTGGAGCGGCCATTTTTGGTCGGCCGTACACAAACCCAGGTTTTTGGAACTTTGAAGCGCGATCCGGCGACCTCTTGGTCAACAGTCCAACATCGTAAGCACCGGGCTAGGACTAGCTGGTTTTCCTGTCTGCTGCGACCAGATATATTAACAGCGGTGGACGGTGGACCTCATCGATGGCATTAAGAGGCATATTTGCTCCATTGCGCCTCGGGCCTCAATCTGGAGTCCCGTCAAAAGTCTCATGACGGCTAATAATATAGGCAGAGTGGTCGTTTCGAGCCTATTAGTCATCGTCAGCCAGCCACACCCAAGTCCGGGTTTTGCGACCGTTCGGCACATATCACTTCCGAGCGAGCTTGAATAATCCGCGGCCAAAGGGGGGGGGCTGCTCAATGGTTGAGCAGTGACCAAATGACCGGCAGCACCGTGTTGACTGATGATAACCGAATGAACAAGAAGTGACCACTCCCGTCTCTTCCACGTCCGCCCTCATTGCTAGCCGTATGCCACTGTCTCGCGTCCTCTCGATGACCTGTGCTGCCCGAGGACTCAGCATAATCTTCACTACACACATGTGCATATGAGACAGCCGGAAGGACACGCATCACGAGCTCATTGTAGAACGAATAGCCAAAGACCGCTCCTTGTTTTTAATCCCCTATCTTCTACAGAGCGTGAAGAAGGTGGGCTGCCAAATTGTCGACTCTTCCGAGGAGAAGAGTGCAGTTACAGTTTCTTTTAACGACGGCTAGATGCGGCTGTGCGATAGGGGTAAGAAACGCTGACGATTCCTGAGATTCCGCGAGACGACCCAACACGGCCGGGAGGGTGACGGCGGTAGCGTCTTCTCAAACCCTCAGGCAATTTCCCTGTAGCCGATAAAGCCACTCTGCGATCTCAGACCAGCTCAGGTGAAGTCCATCTGCTGTAGGACCCCGTCGCAAACAGGTCTGCTTAAGTACCTTCTAAATATACTGGTCAAGACGCGACGGACAGTCGGTCCGGTCACTGGGTGTGTTACTTCCGGTGCCAGAAGTATACACATGTGCACACCAAAACGCACAAAATCTAACGGGACACACCTCTACCGATGAGGGAGATCAACATTCAGTGTCAGATGTGCGTGTGTTCTTCTTAGTCACAGGAGCGTACATTATCACATGATAGTGGCCCCCCCTCCCCGGATGGGTGGCGAATACGTCTAGCAGTCGTGCTGGTCAGGCAATTCAAGGGCGCACAGTGGTAGCGTTAGTAACGGACCGTAAACCACTAGGACGGATCACGTGTTGTCTATGCTGGGGGGCGGGGGGGGGGGAGGGAGGACTGTGTTTTTGTCTGTGCGGGCGAGGCAGGATGCTGCCAAGGTCTCCTTTTCCGGATGGTTACCACTCAGTGGCGTTCCACCCCCGCAGCTTGCGAAAGTAAATAGACGCTCCTGATTACTGGAAACTACTAAATAGGCTGCTGATGTATAGTGCAAAGTTTCGTCCGCACCCAGACATGAAAATAATTCACTTTTCTGAGGTATCGTGTTTAGATGCAATACGGCGCTCCATCCTGCGGACTGCGCCATGCCTGTCAGAACAAATGCAGCACAGAGGGGATCCGTGTCCTCAAACAGGTGCAATTATCGATCGCGCACCGTTCAATGTGAAGACTGGATGCGGCGTGCACATATTACCACACCTAACAGCTACCATATGGGGGCAGCAATTGGGGTGAGGATGGTGGTATATGTAAGGGAAACTTGGAAAGACATGGTATTTATGACCATTAGGGCGGTGTCATTCACTCATCTATCCCGACGAAAGCGCTCCCATTGCGTACTAAAAACGCCTGCGAACTTTTACACAACTTCAACTGACGTTGCTATGCATGCTGTCACCTAGTGGTTAGTTTGTTTCTTTCGATCTGGCTGGCGTAGACAGTCTGGAGGTATTACTCACGGTCGTCGAGAGGAAGATCCGCGACCTCGACG